ACGTACGCTGATTATATGGGGCCTACCTACTGACACCGACTGCAGATAGGATTGTCTACTGGCGGACTCCTCACTACTGCCCACTCTCTTACCCCTTATCCTACATTTCCCTCTATTGCATTCTTCCTCTATGCAGCAGCGATCGTTGTGCAATCAGTGGAGCATTAAGTCCGATCCCTACGCTGCCTTTTGGATACCCTTGCAGAAGGTATTGCGACTATGATCACATATTTGCAACGCCAAGGAGCAAGTACCCCAGGTTTAAAGCTTAAAGGTTAAAGTACACACATACATGTGTACGTCGAAACAGCAACTAACATTAGAAGTGGACATTCTGATTAAAATCTGGTGATTTTATCGTCATTATATGTAAATATCCCACAAGAGAGATCGATATGCAAGGGTATCTGTAGCCTCGGCCCCCGCAGCACGACTGTTTTCTCATTTTTATGCTGCGGCACGTAATGCTAAAAACATTGGAACATTCGTTCGGTCGTTCGTTCGGGTATATAGCCAGTTCTCTCTATATATAGGCACGGCACAAACACATGGACAAAACCCTTGTATCCAAGTATACAAGGTTTATGTGGGGATGGGGAATATGCAAGTTGCCGCTGGGGGCTCGGGACTCTAAATAAAAGGGAAACTTGTTTGCGATTTCTCAGCCTCAGACCTCTCTGTGTTTTTCTCCTTCTTCTGCTCTGCTCTGGTGCTCTGGCGGTTGTCTGCTGGTTGGGGCCTTGAACGGGATGGGATCTTGCATTTTGAACTTCAGCTGTGTGTGTTGGAGGTGCGAGTGCAAAGAGAGCAGAACTAAGAGAGTCTCCCTTTCCGTCTCTTTCTAATGTCAGTTTCACTGCTGCTGCTGCTTCTTCTCCTTCTCCTACTGCGGTTTTTCTGTATTCTGCATCTTTTTTGTTGTGTTTCTCTGCTGATGATATCATTGCTGTCATGTGTATGCGTCTGTGTGCTTGTGTGCCTGTGTCAGTCAGACAGTTGCCATAGCAAGTATACTTGACTTTCCGTCTCTCCACTTCGCAACGACTCAACAAGCCACCTATTCGCATAATTTCTTCGTTTTTTTGCGTCATATTATCTCTTTATCAGTTGACAGAGAAGACCTTGAGACGCCTCCCTGCCCATTAAGCGGCACTGGTCTGTTTAGAAGGGTACGACAGGAAGCCATCACCCTCGAAAATCGGGTAGCAAATATGGCAAATCAGTTTCAATTCGAAACACTTTCGAGGGCCAATCAAAAGGAAAACACACTGCACTTGTCCCGCTTCCTCTCCTACTGCAAATGATTCGAAAAAATGGAACCTGAAACCGAAAAAAAGCAGACACCAAATAATAATTATAATAACACTGATGATAATGAAGACAGCCCACTGTTAAAGCAGTTTGTACTGTACTATAGATGCATCTAGAAGCCAAGGATACATCTGAGTATCTAGGCTTTCGATTCACCCCAATAAGCCAATGGAGGAGTTGCCGTGTGATCGTGGGATAGGAGATTGTCTCGGGATATGGTGATATTGAGAATGGGGGTCGTATTTAGACTTTATTTAGCCGCTGTATGCATACGCATGTACGTACATATATATACATACATATGCAAATGGCCATTTACATACATTTGTATGTATTAAAAGAAATTGGCACTCGGTAAACAGTACTCTTCTTTTCTAATTAACAAATTTGAAAGCCACCTTGGTAAAGACTCATCTGATGCTCTGATGCATAAAAGAAATATTTAATTTGCCTGTAATCGCAATTGTGCCTGTCATTGAGGTATCTTTCCCATGGTACCTTAAAATCCTTCTCCGACATCAATCAAGAGTTGCGCTCTCCACTTCTTCCTCTCTAGGTTGTTATTCTTATTCTCACCACTTCCCCGTGTAACTGTTTTTTCTTCTCCACTGTCAACGTCTGTTTACCCCACAATTTAAATGCATTTTTTTTTTCCACTTTATTTTCATTTATTCTGTGTCATGCTCTATCATCATTAAAACGTCCAAATCGCTTCCTTTGTGCCTCTATTTTTCGGCAACAATTTGCTTATCTTGATTTAACAGCACCAGGCGGTAGACATGGTTGGGGCGGTGTCAAAAGGGGACTGGCGGCTGCTGGTGGCATGAAAATCACTTGAGCGTGTTTCCTTTTGACCAGGCCCTGTCGGTTGAGTTTGGGCTTAATGTTTGCAGGTTGTGTGGCTTTCCGTCCCATCCCATCCCACCTGAAGTATTTTCACACTCAGTTCATTTAATTTAATTTGTGGATATTTTTTCGGCTGCCTCAAAGAAGGAAAAGCATTGTAAACTGATACGAGCTTAATGATGTAAGCCCCACCCCCACACCCTTTTTCGGAACCCTGGATCCTGCAGAGGAGTTGCAGAGTGTTAGTGAGCGTGGTTCAGTGTGTGTCTAGGCATTAATTAATTTTAATGAAGCTGTTGCTTTGCAAGTAGTTTTCGTGGTGCGTGTGAAGTGTCGCAAATTACAGACAATAAGCCCCCAAATGAGAGACGAATGGAAATTTGTGGACTGACAGCCTGCGTTGTTACGATTAATGCTGCAGTTGGAACTCGGAATTGGAATCGCGATTCGCATCGTTGCCGCGATTTGATAGCCTCTGATTTCAATCGTCAGTCTCAATCCAAATTTGAGGATTTGGTTTTGGTTAAGTGCCTACGTCCCAGCAGATAAGGCAACCTTTGGCTTCGCTTTGGCCTTGGTCTGAGACGGGGAACAGAGACTACGACGTAATCAAAAACCAGTTTCTAGTACAGAAAAAACATTCATTATGGGAATTTCAATGCTCCATTGCGCCTCAGTCCTGTCCCAAGTGTGTCCGTGTTGTATGTACATATGTATGTAGTCGTACTCGTGTTGCATGAATGTGTATATGGACGAGTTGTTTGGCAACGCTTTTTGAAACACAAACACCATTGCAGCATTAAAAGTAAATGCAGTTTTACGTGTATTATAAGTGTGTGTCTGTTTAGATGCGATGCCACACATTGATGCATTTAGCTTTTTTGCTGCGTTGCAGTCACACTGCTGTTGCATGATGCATGTGCGTGCCTATTGCATCTGCCGCTAGGGTGATTCAAGGTTAATTTGGCATTCGATACATAATCGAAAATCAGAAATCAGAAAATGTTTTACAATAGTCACTCAATTTAGTCTCCTATCGAAGACTATATCCTATCTGCCATATTTTAAAAATAAGCTATCATTCCGATCTATTTGTTTATCGTGTTCGTTAAAGCTACATACATATGTGGCATCTACCTTCTTGGAATTGAATACAAATATCTTATCCAATATTGAAGTGATGTACCCTCATAATTTTCTAGAGCCTTATGGCTCTATATGTAGATATATATAACTCCATGTAGATACAATTGACCATACATACCATACAAACCACCATGCATACATACATACATATGTACATATGTATATACAAAATACATTGTTTATGCAATTCTCGTGACTCCTTTTGGTTCTGTTTTTGCTTTTGTGGTTTTTGTTGTTGCCCATTTATGTATTTTCGCTCGGCTTTTTGCAGCTCTTTCCGTCTTTTGTTCTCCACCTTGTAGTCTGCGGTTATTGTTTATTCCGCTTGCACTCTCTCTCTCTCTCTCGTCGGCTGCTCCTTAGACCTTGACCACTAACATAGAAACTGACCAAAACCGGTTATCGAAAAAAACACGATTTGCACCGGAGACTCCACAAACCACCTTCACACCATTCCTATTATCGAGTCCCATACCTGCCCACATACACACTTGCATACATATATTTTTTTATGTGTGCAATACCTATACTTAGGTATCTGTGAGCAATAGCTCCATGCGTGCGATTCAATTACCGAATTACACCCACAACTGCCAGCGTTTCGAATGAATTCCGCTTTGAGGTTCCCAGCTGTCAAACCGCCAATTAATGGCCCAAAACGCTCACTGGCTGACCGACAGTGTCACAAATTATTAAAATGGTTTTCTATTATAGTATTAACATCTAATGGTCACACGCATCGCACTCGGTCGTGCTCCAACTTGGATGGCAGGTCGTGCATTTTAATTGCCCACGGGATTATGTGTTCCACGGAGCCTGGCAAAGGGTTGCCGAAATTATTAACCAAAATGTTTGTTAACTTTCATAATTACAAGTCTCTAGCTAGCACGACTTTCGGGGAGAGAGTCGTGAGTATAACTCAAGATCGGGATGTGTGTTGTGGAATCGAAATTTGCCGGTCAATAAAGCGACTTAATGGCAGCACTACGGCAACCATAAAGGCGACCCTCGATAACGCCTTCCGGAGCAAAGCAGCCCTCATGGGCACCCTCATCATCAGCAGCTCCGCTTCCTGGTGACCCAATTTTAGTCGCTCGATGACTGGAAAGAATGGGAACAAAAGCAACCTACTTGTCATAATAATAAGAATTGGAAGAAGATGACATAGCATTGCGAGTCGTAGTTATAGATACACTTAAATACTGATCATTCATAGGAATATTTTATTAACTTATTGTAACAACACTTCGGCTTCCAGCAAGTGCTGAATGACCAGAAAGGACCGCTGATCATCAATTTAAAAATATAATATAATTGAATAGCTATCGCCTATGCATTGAAAACTTCTGGTAAGAATTATAATACCCTTTCCAAGTGTACACTGAATTATTTAATAGTTTTTTGTGTCCGCACTTCTTGTTCTTTGCTGTTTTTATATTGGGTAATTTGATCCCCTAATGTTGGCGGGAATCACGTGTTTCGAGTTTGATTCTCGTATCATTTGACCCCCTTTTTCATTTTGACTGCTTCCCTGGTTCAAGTGATTCGGATTCCCTGTGGATCGACAACATCTGCATCTGGATCTGGGGGTGACCTTGTTTATGGTTCTTCAATTTCAAAACAACCCAGCTAATTGATGCCCAACTTGTTGATAAAACTCGCCCCAAATTGGAACATAAAAGAGGCACTCACTAAGCTGCCCAAAAGATTGTATATTTATTTGTTAATTGCAGTGCTTCAAAGTTTTTCCTCAGCCTATGCCTCTACCGCCTGCTTCTTCAGAGATTGGTGAGAGCGTTCTATTAAAAGAGCGGGAGGAAGTACTCATTTGATTAGCCACTGTTTCGGGAATGCTGAAAGAACCACTTACAGCCAGATCGCCCAGACTCTCGTTCAACTTCTTGATATAAGGCGCAGCAGCATCGGCAGCAGTAGCGATTGTCTTGGCACTCACAGCCTGAAAATAAATGAAACATTTGAAAACTAATTTGGGTGGAACTTTGAGGGGAAAACTTACTCCTCCTTCGGCTATGATCGAAACCCCATCAGACTACAAGAAAGACGCAAAAATAGTCAGCACTCAGAGGTCATAGTCATTCTTAGATCACTTACAGAGATACTACGAGCCTGTGGTCCGGCCTTCACTTGCACACTGAGACTGGTGATGGCATTCTATGCATAGAAAGCGTAAGACTACTTTCAATTTTTTTTAAGACAAAAAACTTACAGCCAAATCACCCAAGCCAGTGCCAATGCTACCCAAAACCTCCCCGAGAAGATTTGAGACTTCGGGTTGGACATAATCAGTCTCGACGTTCAGGCTGGTGATGGCATTCTACGGAAGAATGTTAGTTAGAACACATTTCAACTATGTAATAATCAACTGGATTACAGCCAGATTTCCTAAACCAGTGGCCATATCACTAAGGATGTTCAGGGTTTCCGATTGAACAAGCTTGGGCTGAGAGGCTCCGATAGTATTTGCCAACTGATTCCAAGCTTTTTCTCCAATCACAGCCACCTTTGACACGTCCCCCATAAGGGTGCCGAAGCTAATAGTTCCCGCCGCGGTCTGGTGGGCCATCAAGGCGATGGCCAAAATATTGAAAGCTTTGATTGTTGCTTGCATGTTGTTTTCCAATGAATTACTGATTGGGTTCTGGGCCAAATAATGCATTTATAGCCTACTCTTATCTCTGAAGGAATGCAGAGGTATGAGTATTAAAAACAAATCAGACTCAAGAAGGCAATGATTCAGCGCTAACTGGCGGGCTGTTTTGATTGATGGCCAAATAGGTTATCTGACTGAAGTTGGGGTATTTCTGCACCTATCTGTGATATTATAGGAACATTGATTTGCAGTCTCGAATGGTTTTCGGAAGGTCCAATCTCAGGCAGCTGAAAATAGCCTGCACAAAAAACATTGTTGTCAAAACAAGGTTTATACCGCTATTATCTGGAGAGTAAGTACTTGAATATATTTAGAATAGCAATAGAATTGATTACGCTCATTACGATACTTGAGTAAATAGATCGAAAGTCGATGAAAATTTCACTATTTTGCTATCTAAAAAAGACTAGCAATCGAATGCGCGAAGTTGGATGCATTTGTTGCAATGGTGTCTGCAGCATTGGTGGCAGCTCCAGCCACGCTCGAAGCTACTCCAGCCGCATTCTGAGCAACACCAGCGGCATCACCTGCCACATTGCTGGCAGCATTGGCTGCATCCTTAGAAACAGTTTGGCCCACATTAGATGCTGTATTAGCAACATCGTGAGCTGCCTTTACTGCATCTCCAGCAACATCTGTGGCATCTTTTGCTACACTTTCGGCAGCACTGGTGGCATCCTTTGCAACAGTTCCTGCAGCACTGGCAGTGGCAGTAGCAACACTGGAGGAACCTGGATAAGTATCATTTCCTGAGTTATCTACGGTTTCGCTGCAGGTGCAGGCGATAGTCTTACTGCTGGTAACCTTATTGGTGGACTGGTCAGTACTGGCAGCGACTTTATTAGTAGCGGATTTAGCAGAATTAGCTGAAGAATCCGAGGAAGAAGAGCTAGAGGAAGACTACAACGAGACAAAACATTAAATCAGCATTCTGCAGGGTAGATTGTATTGCTATTCTGTTAAACTCACAGAGGACTGGGACTCCTTTTCCAGAGAACCAATTTCAGCACTGCCAATTTGTTCCTAGCAAAAAAGAAGAATTTTATGTTTTATAATTCCAATAAATAACATTCCGACCTACTGCTTCCTGGGATACTTGATGTCCAAAGTTAATGGCGCTGTTGGAGGCCTGGTGTCCGAACTGTGTCCCCTCGTCTCCCAATTCGTGGCCAAACTCTGAGGCGTCCTGACCTATCTCATTGCCCAAATTTCTCTAATGAAACAATGTACAAGCTAGGCATAATTCCAGATGAATCTAATATTCCTTAGATGAGACAACCTACCAGAGAACTGGACACGCTCTTGGCGCTGGTCTGCTTTTGACCCACCAGTGCCACCACAAACAGCAGGCAGACTATGAACTTCATGTTTGAATATCGGGTTTGTTATTTTAACTAAAGATATACTCGAGCTTTGCACCCTTTATATACCGAAGAGATAAAGTGATATAAATTCCGATATGGATATCTGTACATTGAGCCATGGGCAGGTCGAGCCACGACTATTTCGTCTGGTCAAAGTTCTTATCAAAGGCGCGGGAGTGATCGATCCATTCTAGAGCCATAAATTTCTGCTGAAAATGATTGCTAACAGACAGGTTTAATTTTTTGGAAAACAACTACAAGTTTTGCCAAGATAACACTATAGTGTTCCCACTCTGTCAGGTCGGAAGAGTGTCTTAGGTTGAGAAACTATCTGTCGTCTTTCGCTTTCATAGGGTAAACTTCTTTCAGTGTATTGGTCAAGCTCTGAGTGTATATTCCCTCGATCTTTCTATATTCTTTCCTTCCTCAAATCAACCTTGGGAATTCAGGTTTGTATACTCAAGGAAAGCTTTCCAGTAGTGGTTTTCTAATTATAACTACGTTTGAATAGCATAAGTCATGCAAATTCTTTATAATTGAGCAGAGCATGCTTGGGAATCCTATCGAATTTGGGTTTTTATTTGGGTGAGTGTGTAATCGATTGATCAAATATTTTTTTATCAGTTAGTAAATATTTTAGTTTGTGAATAAGAATAATTGTCACTGCGAGATATGTTCGCCTTTAAGTGGAAAATACTTGTAAGGATTGGGCATTCCGTTTCGAAGTCTTTTTCCCCGATCCCGCAGCGTCCTTGCTTGAATGGTGGGCGACCGCTGATCCACAGTCGTCTTGGAGTTTGGACGGTTTTGAAAGTTAAAGTTTAGAAAGTACTTTGGCTGCTGCCGTCGCTTTCCACTAGAGCTGGCGGAGGGCTGGTGGCCTTGTGGTTGGGAGTAACTGAATCGGATTAGGGCGTTCTTGTCGGGCTGGATGTTGAACACCTTCTGGTCAGGGCTGTACGTCGGAGGGTCCATAAATGGTTTTACATTGGACTGAAAAAAGTTGTGTTAGTGCCGGAAAACCATCGCATCATTTGACTCACAACATTTCTCTCCAACTCGTTTCCCATTTGGATGGCTATCTTCATGTTTTTCCCCATTTTCTTCATGGCGTCCTGGAATTCGGATTTCTGTACACTTGCTTGAATCAGCAGAGACGACAGCACAAAGGTTAAGAATACTACCTGATGGGTTGTCATCTTCCTACTGCCAAAGTACGGCTACGGTCCAATCGGGATTGGCTGGAAAATCATTTCGTTGCAGTTAACTTCGATTAAAAGTGTGAAGATTTACTTATTTAACTCGTTTGTGGTCCAATCAATGTGGTTCGCACTTATGCGGTGTCCGGATTCTATGTCCTTGGCCATTCGATGCATTGCCGCCTCGATGCGCTTATCGTGTTGATGGCCCTCTGGTATCGAAGGGGCTTGGTGGATTAGCAGCATAGATTGTACTCTATACCAGAAGCCAGATCCAGATTTCCGAAATAGAAGCCGAAGAATTTTGAATTGGTATTGATAGATGAATAAAAAATCCCAAAGAGTATTATGCTTAAGTAGGGGAATCTATCTGATATCATTATTTTTACCAACTGAATTAAAACCAAGGATAGTTTCCAGTCTGGTGTTTATTCAACTTAAGTTCTTCCGTTGTCAAATTGATAAGAACTCTTTCGTTTCGGGTGCTTTCGGTTTGAGAACTCGAAATATATGGAGTAGGCCTGGGATTGCCCGGGATTGCCGTTGATTAGAGTGGGCGCCCCCTTGCTTGAGGCCTCTTTCTTTATATATTGCCCCAGATTCTCCTGTGTGACATTAGCTTTGAGTGTTTAGTGTGGGGAAATTCCGTTTGGAGATGACTTACAAACTGTTTTACGATGCCCTGACTCTGCTTCGCACTTATGCGGTGTCCGGATTCCATGTCCTTGGCCATTTGATGCATTGCCTCCTCGATGCGCTTACCGTGTTGCTGGCCCTCTGCTATCGAAGGGGCTTGGTGGATCAGCAGCATCAGGGCGAAAAGGGCCATTATTGATGCCACTGTCGGACTCACCTGCCTCGTCTGACCCATTTGCCGCTTTGAATGGAAGCCCCGCAGGCAAAAACCTAATCCACTTAATCCCCGATTCTCCATAGACTTTTTTCGCCGATTGGCTACGCCCCAAAAGGAAGAATCGGTTCGTTGCAGTGCTTCAATCTTTGATCTTAGATGCCCATGCGAGTATATGTGTCAATGGCAGCTGGCCGCGCTCAGAGCAGTCCCCGTAACCCTTGGCCACATTTATTGCCATTTTTATTCAGCATGCCGCGATTCAATAGATTTTTGCATAAAACGCTTCCTTGCCCTCCTGTTACGCGACATTGGGGTTATATTCCTCACTCGCCTAATGTAAACAAGTTATAAAATACTCGTAAAAAGCGGAGCGAAACTATGGTCACATAAAAAGGCTATAAAATCTGTTGCTTTTAATACTTTCTACCGTCCTGAATAAAAAAAAATGTAAAAACAGGAAAGAGATGACAATATCAGCGGTCGAGGCTTCGTACACATACTCTTGCAGAATCACCACATATATAATACATATAGTGTTATATAGACTAGACTCTAGATCTGATCTAGGAAATTCTTCTCTCAACTGTACGGTGATACCCGCTGTTAGGGTATACATGTGTACATATGTATGTATACCCAAACAAAGTGGTGACGGGGGGAACAACAGAATCGTTTTTTACTGCGAAATGCTAAAATCGTAAACTAAAAACAACATGGGGTGCTTACGACATCTAGAACGGCACAGGACTAGGAACAGGGGTAGTACCAAAGGTGTCGTGCCCTGCTGTAACCCCAGACCCAACTCTCATTATCGCAAAATCAAAATGCGTTTGTCAATGAATTAGAATCGCTTCGATGGCGATGGCAGTCGTAAAGTATTCTCCTTTTACCGCTTTTGCTATTGAACTTTAGCCCATATAGGATAGTAATGCAGCATTATACAATTTTTTTTAAACATTCGCATTAATCAGCGAATTCCATTTACATGCGCATGCCTACTTCTACTGTCTACTACTTTTCCGTGAGAGAAAGGCTAACAAATCATCCCCAAAACTATGTTAGAATTCATATCGCATGGGCCCTGCCGTTCCTTTAAATACGGCTTTTGACACTGCATGGTCACAGGCAGCGTGGCCGAGCGGTCTAAGGCGCTGGTTTTAGGCACCAGTCCGAAAGGGCGTGGGTTCGAATCCCACCGCTGTCACATCAAAGATAATGTATATAGTCTTCTTTTTTCTATTCCATTTCAGTGTTTATAATTTTTACTTTCTTTTTAAAGATGGAACTATACGATATAATAACACACCCGCTCACTAATATAACTAAAATTTTTAAGAGAATGCCCGTTCATAGATGTTCATAGATAATCAGAGAATAAAATGGATTGCGTCTTAGTAAGCTTGTACTTTGATATACATAGTATGTAATTTATTAGAAACATTTACAGCGATAATAAAATTGTTCTCATTTTTGAAGTGTTTTAGTTATTTTATGGCGCAGACCTTAGCAACCCTCTAGCACTTGCGCGACAGACGGCAGCGTGGCCGAGCGGTCTAAGGCGCTGGTTTTAGGCACCAGTCCGAAAGGGCGTGGGTTCGAATCCCACCGCTGTCACATCGTGGAAATATTTTTAACGAACGATACCCATTTTGTCTTTTATGCAGCAGCGGGATGTTTTATTTTTTACATATCCACGCCTAATTAGAAACCGCGAAACGATTTAGACTTTCAGAGTCGTGAACCCCTGACCCCTGTCCCATTTCCCGGCACTGACAACGTTTATCTGGCGTTGACATTTCCCGCGTGCTTCGTTTTCAACATAAACCCTTTTACGGTAACATGTTGATCTCGTTAACGACCCGCGGTGCGGACCGAAACGCAATGAAAGGGAAATGTCAGGAAATTAAAAGGGTTTGTGCGGTCCCAGATGCGGAAAGTCCTTTGAAATGGAATAAATGAAATGTCGGACGAGCCCTGTGTATAGTTCTAAGCTCCCCACTGACTCTTTGATACCGAAAATAATCGCAGGCAATGCAAAGATTTTCCGCTGAAAAATTAGGACTGTGCTCAATACTACTCATAACAGTACCTATATTTACAGCGATGGATAATGTTGTATTTTTTTTTTCTAAAATACAAGCCAATCGAGGCACTTGGAATGGGTTTAACAGATGACGGCGATTAATAGCTCGTTATGACGGACAGTCCAGTCTTGGTTAGACTTAACACCCTCCGCTGATCGGGTAAATCACACTTCGTACAGGGGGAAATGACTGAGAAGATTTCGAACTACATTAGAGATATCGCTCCAGCATATATGGTACATACATACATATATTCAATTGCAGATGATGCATGACAAATGGGAAAATCCCTCAAGGGATGCAGGTGCTTTACTATATAGAACACCTTTATTGCATGCCAGGTGGATGAGTGTACCACGAACATGCATACGTTTCGCTTATACAACGATATTTTAAACTTTACTTCCTCTATTATCAATGTGTGACGTAGATTGGAGTTCCGGGCAAACTTTATTGATCTGATGTTTTTGGTTAGATAGAGTTCATTGCTCTTTTTGTGGATGGCTGGAAAACCTTCAGTGTCACCCAGTGGCTTGCATCTCTCCGGCCTTTGGATATCACTGACCAAAGTGAAATCTAGTAAATGTTTTAACCACAAACTACGCCCCGGGGAGAACAGAATAGACGCGCTTCATTGATAAACCCGATCACTTCGGCCTCGGCTTCAGCTCGAGAACCGAGCTTCGAAGCAAACGAGGCTTAAACGAAGCTTAATATGTAGCTGAAGCTGATGCTGTGGCTATAAAAAGGGGGCGCAAAATGCAGGCATCTCACAGTCCATTTTATGGGTCAAGTAGAATCGTTCTATCACAAGCGAATAAGTGAATCTAGTATAATTACTAAAAATGAAAGTGTTTGCGGCGGTATTTATCTGCATTTTGATTGCCAACGATGCAAAGGCCCAATGTGAGTGCTAAGTCCAGTTCACTGGAATGCCAGTTGAAATCGTGATATCGTTTTAGAAAATCCCCAAAATCAGTGGGAATCGCACAAGTGCGAGAGAGTGAAGTGAATAGTTCTAATTAAGGCGGTTAGACCAGTTGACGAAGCGATGCACGCGCCACGCTCAAGTGGGCTAGTGCCCAGAGTGAAGTGATTCGTGATTAAGATGTTCATGGCGAAAGCAGAGAATTGGCTCTCCTCTAAAATGATAAATGTTCTAGTTGGACAGTCGACCACAATAATGTCGCAAGGGGATCGCTTCTCTGGGAGTCCCCTAAGAACTAGATTTTGATGGTATTTCCCTTTCTATTCCCTTACTCTTCCAGATACAGGCTGTGTGAACCCGAACCAGCGGGCCGGTGTTTGTGTGCACATCAACGAGTGCCAGACCCTCTACTCGGTTTTGCAGCAGGCCAGCCTCTCGACCCTGGAAAAGCAGTTCCTCAAGACATCGGCTTGTGGGATGGGCACTGACAACCGGCCTTTCGTCTGTTGCACCCAAGACACCGGCTACACGAGAAATAGGCGCATCACATCTTCCTTTGCGGACTATGACGGATTTGGTGGGGACTGGAGAGAGGAGAGGCCTAACAACTTCGCATTTCCGAATGAAAAACGTAGGTCCTGGAACTTTGGAGGTAACGGCCAAAGATTTGACACTACTCCGCCTGAGACACAACCGAGGGGACAGTCGAACACAAACGATGGCTCAAGCCTCTTGCCCCAGCCCCCCACCTGCGGCGGTGTTGCTATCAGGAACAGAATCTACGACGGCGAGGACACCGACCTCAACGAGTTCCCCTGGATGGTGCTCATGGAGTATCGCAGACGTAGCGGCAACGGCCTCTCCACCAGCTGCGCGGGATCGCTGATCAATCAACGATACGTCTTGACAGCAGCCCATTGCCTGACGGGACGCATCGAAAGGGAGATTGGACCACTGTAAGTGTGCATATGCAGATTTACTTTCAGAAGGGGATTCCTGCTATAAAGTTGTAGTTTCCAGAAGTAAATTTAGAGTGCTGTTGATTGGTTCAGTGGGGATTTCTAGCTTTGACTGGTTTTTGGCTTGTGTAAGTGTAAGAAATGCGTAGGATCTTGACATATTATGTATATTCTGATGTTTGACAAAGCGGAATTCCGATTGATATTCAGATTAAAATTAGAAGGTTCTATGGGAGATTAGGAAAATCTTAAAGTAGGACTTTTTGTTAAGTCATTTTTGGAGTTTTCGTGTGACCAAGAGGTAACTTCAGTATCCAACACAAACCCATCGATCCGATTCATGAATGGGTGATAGTTGAATAGCCCGACTCCATGCTGAGTCAAGCTCGCACTCCCGGAATCTGTGACTATTCCCGTCCAATCCAGTTTCAGTTAATGGGCGAAAGTGGTTTAATCATGTTTGTTTGTGTGCGAATTTCGGGAAACAAGCTGCATTCTCCAGGTAATAATCAAGTTGAAAGGGATCCCCCACAAGACTTTGCCAAGCAGCCAGTGGCTGTTGTTGCTCAACTCTCGGCTAATTTTAAGAATATTAATTAGCTCGGTAGGACGGCCAAAAACCAGATCCGAAGTGTGTTGCTGCTTGTTAGCTTGCTATGATTCACAATTAGCTGGAGCGAACGAGTGAAGCAGGGCGCCAAAGTGGGGTGTGGGGGTTCTCCGACGCTACGCTCCTAATTTCGGTTTATTCTCAAGCACCAATTAGCAGACTAATTCTAGTGTTTAATCGTTTGCGTTTAAATGCTCATTCTATCTGTGTATCTCCAAATAGCGCCTCGGTTCGTTTGGGCGAGCATGACACGCGCAGTGTGATTGACTGTCCCAGCGGTGGAGGAGGTTGTTCTCCTGAGGCCCAGCGCATCGGCTTCGAGGAAATCCGGTTGCACGAGCTTTACAGCGAGAAGTCGCCCAACCAGATTCATGACATAGGCCTGGTCCGTCTGGAGCGGAATGTGCGCTATTCGGACAGCATTCGACCCATTTGCCTGCCATTTGCTGTAGGCGTTGGTCCAGAGTCTCGACAGGGGGGCCAGGAGTTCACGGTTGCCGGTTGGGGTCGCACCCTTAAGATGGCCAGAAGTCCGGTAAAGCAGAAGGTGGTCGTGAACTACGTGGAGCCGACGCGGTGCCGGCAGAGGTTCGCCCAGATCAAGATCAATGTGGAGCCGACCCAGATGTGTGCGGGCGGACGGTTCGGCCAAGACAGCTGCGACGGTGACTCTGGTGGCCCCCTGATGCGGTTTCGCGGAAATGCCTGGGTTCTCGAGGGCATCGTCTCTTTCGGTTACAAGTGCGGCCTCAAGGACTGGCCGGGAGTCTATACGAGTGTCACTGCTTATGACATTTGGATAAGACAGAATGTGAGGGCTTAGAGCCCCCACTGGATGGGGTATCCGCCAGAATAATTTCAAAGCTTAAGATGTGATCTTTTTTACTCATAGATTAATGTAGAAACTAACTTAGATTATCCCAATATGTTGAAATTATTATCAATTAAATGAAATCCCACAAGTGATTCAACTGTTCTGAACAACCTTTGGCTTTCCCAGCACAGCCGGTTGGTAGAAACAATCGTCTGCCATTGGCATTGTTAACGCGCCTTAATTGGCTGAACCACAAGAAAACTTCCGGGGTCAGGTGCTTGCAGATGGCTCAAACTTTGGCCAAAATTGGAGCCACAGCTTTCAGTTAATTCATCTTCCTAAAAGTGGGCAACACTTCTGGGCTAAAGCTTAGCCTCGCCGATTCCAAACGCGCTCGCGTTGTGGCCCGAACGAAAGTGAAACCAGCTAGAGAATTGCATAACCTAGCCGAGTCGAACCGGACCAGTTATCGGGCAATGCTTGACTGCTGCTCCCGTTTCAGTGCCGCCTTCCGACTGCAGTTTTGTACTCGTTTTCGTGTCAGACAGAAGCGGGGGTGACAGCAGCAGCAGCAATACCGATTTATGGCTCATTTGTTGACACCTGAGCTTCAGCTTTAGGTTGAGCTCTTCGGCTCTTCCGACTTATCTGACTCTTCAGTGGTTTCAGTTTCGGTTGGGGTAGCGACTACATATGCGACTGGCACTAGCACTGGATCTGCCGCTCTGCACATTTAAATTCAATACACAGCTGAGCGTTCACACGAGTGTATGGTTCGGCGGACTGGGATTTCGATTACTATTGTAAGAGTGATTGTGATTGCGTAGAGTAAACCTCTCTCTCCACGCGGTTTCGCAAGTCAGTCAATAATCAATTGATCGATCGATTAACTGCCGATGCAGTGGACAGCGTTCACGCTGTGGGCAGTGCTCGGCTGTTGTTCTACTAAGGCGGAGAACTCTGCGCCGGAGCGCCAGGCCTGCGACATTCCCAATGAGGCGAAGAGAGGCGTGTGCGTCCAGGTGAGCCAGTGCGCCGCCTATCTACAGGTGCGAAATGTCACCAATCTGCCAGCTGAGAAGGTGAACTTCCTGAAGAAGGTGCAGTGCGAAATGGAGATCCACGGACAGGAGGAGGACTCCTATGAGTCGCTCGTCTGCTGCCCGGCCAATGGGCAAGACTATCTCTTCCCGGCTCTGCAGTTTTCCAAGTTCGAGTATCGGCGCTTCCTGGACGTCACGGCCAGATTCAAGCGGAAGAAGCTGAAGCGGCGCATCCACACGGTAGAGCCGACCACGGGATTCAATCTGCTCAACGAGTGTGGCAAGCAGGTGACGAATCGCATCTACGGTGGAGAGATTGCCGAGCTGGATGAGTATCCCTGGCTGGCCCTCCTGGTCTACAATTCAAGTGAGTCAATGATCCTAGTCCGAGATCCTTAATGGTTTAACCTGTTTTCCAATTTTTGCACAGATGACTATGGTTGCAGTGGGGCGCTGATTGACGATCGTCATGTTCTGACTGCCGCCCACTGTGTCCAGGGCGAGGGAGTGCGTCAACGTCGAGGCCTGTGAGTGGTTCCATAGCACTTATCCACAGCCCATTGGCTGAGTAGTCGTTTTTCCTTTAGAAAGCACGTTCGCCTGGGGGAATTCAATGTGAAGACCGAACCGGACTGCATCGAAGAGCCCAATTATCTCAGCTGCGCGGATGCTGCCATGGACATTGGATTCGAGCGGATTCATGTGCATCCCGAATACAAGGAGTATTCCCACTACAAATTCAATGACATAGCCATCATCCGGCTGAAACATCCAGTCTCCTTTACTCACTTTATCATGCCCATCTGTCTGCCGAACAAGACATCACCTTTGCCCTTAGCAGAAGGCCAAATGTTCTCCGTCTCCGGCTGGGGCCGAACGGATCTATGTGAGCTTTAAATATCCCTGCATTTGCTGGATCCTAATCTCATCTAAGCTTCTTTCCTCTTCAGTCAACAAGTATTTCATCAACATTCACAGCCCCATAAAGTTGAAGTTGCGAATTCCATACGTATCAAACGAGAACTGCACTAAAATCCTGGATATGTTTGGTGTGCGTCTGGGCCCCAAGCAATTGTGTGCTGGAGGAGCTTACGCCAAGGACACCTGCGCCGGGGATTCCGGAGGCCCACTCATGTACTTTGATCGCCAGCACTCGCGCTGGGTGGCCTATGGAGTCGTCAGCTTTGGATTCACGCAGTGTGGCATGGCCGGTAAGCCCGCTGTCTACACGAACGTGGCCGAGTACACGGATTGGATCGCTGGCGTTCTGCTGCAGGAGCAGAAGCCGCAACAGCAGCAGTCACCAATCTCTTGACGTCAGATTTCGGGGGCTCCAACAATTGGCGCCTAATGACAGCCCAGATCTGTTTGTACATATTTTGCTAATTATCTAACAGATATCAACTATTTGACTAAGCGTGTGAGTGAATGAGTATGAGTGCTGGTTGGAATGTATGTGCGAGTGTGAGTGTGTGTATCTGTGACTGTGCGCTAACAAAAGTCTGAAAAACATGTTTCTATTTAAATAAACTATTGAAAAATGAACACTCCGTTGACTCCAATTGAAACGGAGAGACAAAAACATTAAAGCTGCAACAGAAGATTGCGAATGACTCATTTGATGAGTGCCCCTCTTGGAAACAGATCCTCTGTGGTGAGCCATTAGCTGTTTCTCCTCTCTTTCAACAGCTGGTCAAACCTGATGCCAATGCAGTTTTTTCTCCGTCTCGCCTTGATGTCGTCACTGATTGCCACACTTTGCTTTCACTCCCCATTCGCGTGCACTCAAAAACGTGGCCGGAGAAGCTCGTAAAGCAGCGGTCCCATGATGCAATTTCTGACAATCCAAGCCGATTCCCAGGCCAAGTCCAAACCAAATCGGAATCCAAATCGATGCGGGCCATTTATCAGGCCTTCTTTCGAGCCGAAAATAGCCAACCTAACTCCAGAAACGATCCAGAAATCCATTTGTATGCGATGCGCAGGTGGAGCTCTAGCTTAGCCCCTTCTGCCTCTTTGGACTAGAGAGTGTTTGTCAGTGACCAAAATTGGCCGGCCAGGGCAAAGAAGAGAGCGTACGAGGGGCAGCTTCTGTGGCCAGTAGCGCCCCAACTCATCCGTGCGTCATGGTAGGCGAGAGTGAAAGTGAACTTGACTCTTGGACAGGTTGGATTTGATTTAATGCCAGTGCCCATGCTAATGTTGATGCGTGCGATATGAGATATGCCACATTAATATTCATGATGTTTATTAGCCGGCGACAACACCTGGCCGGGCAGGCCACAGCGGGGCAAAGACAACGAGATGCCGCAAGTGACACCACCATCAAGCTATGATTGTGCAGCTCATTATCGAGTTTTGGCGATTTTTTTTAACCTTGAACCACATATACGAACCAGAGATACACCCATACGCTCATATTCGCATAGGGGATATGGGAATTGGCAAACATGAGTGGCATTGATAACCGGTTTGCCATCGAAACCCTCTCAATGAACTGGGAAGACAGCACTATGATACACCGATAGAAAAAAGCCCTGAAATTTTAATATTTTCACTTAGATTTTAATATTTATGCCATTGATTTTCATCCAAGAGTGGTTGTATTAAAATTGAATATTTTTCACTTAAATTTTGATATTAATATAGAAATATTTAAATTTAATATATTTCATATTTAAATTAAATATGTTTCATATTTAAATTTAATATGTTTCATATTCAAATTTAATATGTTTCATATTTAATGTTAATATGCTTCATATTTAAATTTAATATGTTTAATATTTAAATCTAATGTGTTTCATATTTATATTTATATTCATTTTTAACTAATTGGTTATTATTTTGCGTACGCAAATTACATTTCAAGTCCTCATGGTGTGAATTGGTTAAAGTTTTCAACTAGAAATAATCGCAACATGAGTAGGACTGCATTGGTTGTGATTATGCCCCTGCGCTAAGATAATTTTACTGTGCATTCAAGGCGGCAGCAGCTGGAACTAGTTGGGAATTCGAGGGACATAAAAAAATAATATAAACATAGTTAAAATAAATACAAAAAATATTTGATTTTTTTCCTTTGGATTTTAAAAGAAAAATTTTGAAATCAAGTCATAATAATATTCAATTTAAATATAAAACATATTAAACTACAAATTTAATATATTATAGTTATTTTGAAGTGTTTTGTATTTAGATTAAATATGACCGTATTAAAAAAGCATTTTGAATACATTTATATTTGAATCAAAGTGAATTCTATTAAATTTTACTATGTTTGTATTTAAAAATGGCATTTTAAATTCAAATATGATTGTAGTTATTTTTACTATGCCTTTTTTCTATCAGTGTACAGATACGCATCGTTGCCATGCTGAATTTGTAAAGCAGAAAGTTTTGGGAAACATATTGGGATTTCTATGTTGTTTTAATTTTGACATCGAATTCCGGGAATCTTGTGAATTGCTTCTCTGGGATCCGATATGGATCTGACGTGCGGCACCATTCACCATGTGTCAATCAAAACAGAGGTAAACTTGCAACCGCATGACCATTCAATGGTCCATTGGGCGGGATAATTCGGTTATGAACACGCCCACACGGCAATTATAAAGTCAATTTGAGCTTCTTTAAAAAGGGGAGGAGGCTGAGCGGGCACATGAACCGTGACAGCGGCAGAGCACAAAGGCGCAGGAAAGAGGAAAAGCCTTATAATCAATTTACTGGCTGACTGCCAGAGCCTGACAACCCTCCGCCAACTTTGATAATTGCATTGGGCTTCACTTTGTGGAAAGTTTTTTTTTTCAAATTGGGAAATTAGAAGGCGAACTATGAAATTAGCCATATGGCCAGGACAGACCCCAGCGAAGGATTTGGCACTCTACTCCCAGGTAGAGCGGGGCATACTTGTTCCAGTGTTGTTTTGTTTTCCCTTTATGACATTGGCAATTGCATTCCCTTTTATTCGCAGCTGAGGCGAAAGACCCTCTCTCCGCTATAAAACTTTATTGACTTGTTAACTCAGCTCGGATCGTATCAATAAATGCCAACTTGCGACAGAGACGTTGACATGCCATTAAACGTCACTGCTAGGACAGGACACGGATACGTACACGGACTAGCAGCACACACATCTTTGTGCACACCATTCCCTTCCATTCCTCTCGGTCGAATTCGCAGATGCTTTGCATGAGGAGTGAGCCCTCTGCACCCCTTCAGAGAAGGACAAGACCAGGGACGGGGGACAGGGTAAGGGTAACATTTGGGCCAAATTGTTGTATAAATTTAATGAAATTAGAATGTGAAAAATCGGAAATATAAATAAATGGATATACAAATGGAAAGCATTTGGATCGGTTTCATTAGTTAATGGATGGTCCGTGAGGAAAAGAATTACTAAAATTGCAAATTGAATTACACGCAAGAAAAACGTTTGGTTCCGAGTTGGGTACTTTTTATAGCACTAGAAGAGCATAGCGTAGTAGTCAAGTCGTTAAAGAGCACATCACAGAGTATTACCAAAGACAATATAACAATAAGATGCATAACGCATACGTTTTTTACAGCGCTGTCGAAATATACCCTTCACTTTAGAAGTGTAAGTTCATTTTACAAGACGCTTACCACCCCAATATAAAAAACTCTTATATTGTACATACATCCCTCCAATGATAATTTCTTTTAACATTTTCGATAATAATGATCGGATATACTTATATAAAAATACATAATATATTTAATACATGTCTTCACATTGGAACATTTGTCATTAGGGTATTCAGTGTGCGACGTATTCAACGACGGTAAAAACGACGTACAGCGCCAGCCGACAACTGTATGTGTGTGCATATGTATATATCTACTTCCTTTCTTGAAGGAACATTTATTATTTCCTTCTTTTTTAAAAGATAAACATCGCTAAATAAACTAATTAATCTGTACATGCTGTAACTGCAATCAGCGAAACAGATCAACTAAACAGAAACAATCAGTTTTCGATCAACAATTATTTAATTTAATTTATTGATTCAGCTGGCGTTTGCATTTCATTCTTTTCATGTAAAGTTTTTGTAAAGAATAAAAGTTAGTTGTGCCCTTTGAATCATACTATTACGATGGATTTTTGTGAATAATTAATTTAGAAAGCTTGTAGAATTGGCATTTGCAATCCCGCAAAATGCCTCGTCATACACAAGACAAACATATGTATGTACATATTGTTATTGTATTATCGTCATTTTTCATCATTTTTACTTGTGCGTCATCTGGTATAAATATTCTCAAAATATTCGTTCAATCGATGTCTAGTTGAATCGAGCTGCATCGCAAGTTCCTAAAATCTTCTTTTAAAAGCCAGACTAGACGAGACTGTGCCGATCTGAACGGTGCTAAAATAAGGTACCCCCGCACGTGTCACCCAAATGAGATACAGCGAGCCATATTCTGAATCTTTTTAATATACCAGCCCTAAAATCGTTCTGTTATGGAAAAACGGGCGCGATAATCGCCCTCAGCATCTATCCATCTAGCAATAATCTCGCACGTGATGTAAGAACATGATGACTTTGGCTGTATGCGAAAAAATTTAATAAAAATTTGCATATGCACCGAACAACCCACGCACATTTATAACAAATTGGCAACATGCTGTTGAACAAATTAAAATACATTCAACAAAATTATTGCAAATTTCGCTGGAGATCTGCCGTTGAGTCAACCAGTCGGGTTCCTGCCGTTCATCTCATAAGACATCAGCTACAGTGCCAGCAATTATGATATGTTTCACGAGGTTAAGATCTGCTCATTCAATGAGCAAACCACTGGAAATAACGCGAACCGAACGCGAGTGAGTCCACGGGGAGCGGAAGCTGGAATAACATTTGTGTGGGGCACTGGGTCAGGAGCCACGGATCAAGGCCTCGGGCCAAACAGGTCTCGCAATAAAAAGAATATTTAATTCCAATTACGCAAAGGGCGGTGGCTGCACATTTGCATATGAAAAACTTAATTATAAGCATTTTGTAGCGCTTTTCCAATCCGAAACATTTCTAATTGAACTTTTCAACTCCTAAACAAACAAATGGAGTGCCCCAGGTTCTGTTGGGAGGGTGTGGCTGAACAAAGAACGACATATGTGAGAGACTCTCACATCCCACTAGGGGGTGGGACTGTGCACTTTGGACTGGGGTCTGTATCAAGAAGACAAATTCGTGTCATTTGGCCAGGAAAATAAATAAATAAGGTGAGAGCAGCCGTGCCACATGTGTGTATTTGTCCTCTGATATGCGCCTTTTGGCAACTTTCCCAAGACTTCAAGTGGCTCTCGTCCACGTCCACGGTTTCGAGAGGTTGCAAAGTTGCTCAATTCCGACAGTTTTTGCACATTAGCAAGCAGCACTCGAGATAATGCGGAAAACTGGAGTAGGAGAATAGAGCTAAAGTTGGAGGATAAGAAGAAGAAGAAGGAGCACTTGAAGCTGTCAGCCAGACACTTGCAGGCTGTCTC